CCGTCTTCCGGGCTCTCCCCCTCGCGCTCGCCCGCCGCCCGCCGGCCCGGCCCGCCCCGGGCCCCGCTGTGCCGGGGCCGAGGGGCCGCGTGTGGGCGCGCTCGCCGCCGCCCTCATGTCCGCGCCGCTGAAGAAGGGCCCCGGGGGGCTCATCGGGCTCATGAAGGATGCCTTCCAGCCGCACCACCACCACTTGGGCCCGCACCAGCCCGGCGCCGTGGACAAGAAGATGGTGGAGAAGTGCTGGAAGCTCATGGACAAGGTGGGCCTGGCGGGGCAGGGCGGGAGCCAAGGCGTTGCGGGGGACGGGGTGGGTGTGAGGGCGGTGGGGAGGGTGTGGGGCTGGTAGGGACGCGGTGAGGGGGCTTGGAGGGCAGAGGGGGCTGTGTGGGGCTGGGATGAGGCCAGGCTGAAGGGTCTGGGGGGCTGCTGTGTGGCCCTGGGGGGACAGGGGACTCTGTGGGGTCAGGCTAAAGGCAAGGTGGGGAGGGCCTGGGGGGCCAGGGAGGAGGGAGAGGCCTGTGTGAGGCTGGGATAGAGGCAGGATGAGGAGACTGGCAGGCGGGTTGGAAAACAGAGGCCTCCATGGGGTCACGGAACGGCCATGGTGAGCATTTGGGGGGCACAGAGTGGGTCTGAGGGGAAAGGGGTTGGGCCAGGGTCAGGGGAGAAGGTTTAGCGGGTCAGAGTGGGTCTGAGGGTGGAGAGGCCTGCGTGGGTCCTGGAAGGGTTGGAGTGAAGGGTTTTGTGGGGTTAGTTGCAGAGAGGGCTGTGTAGGGTCGGGGTGGTGCTCAGCAGAAGGGTTTGGAGGTGCAGGGAGCGAGGGAGGGCTCTATGGGATGTGGGTTGGGGGCTGTGTGGAGCCAGGGTTGGGGTGGGATGCTTCCTAGGGAGCGCATGGAGGGAACGCTGGAGCTTGTGCGTGGAGGAGAGGTGGGAGCAGGGGCAGGAAGCTGTGGGGAGGGGAGCAGCAGCTTTGCAGAGGGGTGACGCGTGTGCAGGGCTCGGGGTCAGAGTGGCGACTGGGAGCGAAGGAGGCCGAGCTGCTGGAGAGGAGCTGGGAGCCGTGTCCTGACACGGGCAGCACGGTTACACGCAGCACTGCGTGCCCGCTTCGGAAGGGCTCCCCCGTCCCTCACCTTGTAAAATGCCTGGAACCGCCTATTGCCGGGGGCAGGACCTCGGACCTCTCGGCCTGGTGGTGGGATGAGGTACGGAAATTGATGCATCCGCCCAGCCTGGTGTGCAGGGAAATGCTGCCGTTGTGAGAAATCCGAACAGGCGGTTAGTCCTGCGTGTTGCTCCTGTTTACTGAGTGCTCCTGTAAATGACTGTCGACATCCATAAGTGGGCATAAACTAACTTCCTTTTTTTTTTTCCCTGGGTTGATACGAAGAATGTCAGGCCCTAAAGCTGGTGTACAGTAAAGACAGTGTCATGTCACTACCTTCCTCGCTGGGAGCAGCGCTAGCAGGGCTGGTGCCCGTACCTCGTCCAATACCCTGCAGGCTTATGCACTTCAACTTTTCTCTCTCTCTCTCTCTCTCTCTCTCTCTCTCTCTCTCTCTCTCTCTCTCTCT